GTATTGCGAGGTAACGCAAAAGTATTGCGAGGTAACCCAAAAGTATTGCGAGGTAACGCAAAAGTATTGCGAGGTAACCCAAAAGTATTGCGAGGTACCGCAAAAGTATTGAGAGGTAATGCAAAAGTATTGCGAGGTAACGCAAAAGAAAAAAATCCCCCCATGTCCCCTCGCGGGCTCCGTAGAAAATAAATACTTTATGTCACAGAAGTTATTTTAATGAATAAAGGTGGTTTTTCAACTTTAAATGTAGTCAAACTGTTTTACTACATAAAGATGTGGCAGCTCAGTTTGAGGTGCATGTCTCCCTTTGCTCTGACCGTCAGTTAAACACAGTTCACTGATTGGGTTTGTTGATTAAAAGCCTACTCATTAAAGGTTTGTGGAAAATGAAACCCAGCATGTCTGACTGAAACATGAACCCTGCCTACAAAACTCCTTCTTATTGTCAATATTAATGTTCATCCTAACAGCTTTATTATAAACAGCGTCTTTGCACAGACAAAGATAGGTTTTTTTATCTTTCTCATACAATGTTCTGCAGGGTTCCCACGGGTCCTTGAAATCCTTGAAAGTTTGTGAATTAAAAAATTCAATGCCCTGGAAAGTTTGTGAAAACAGCCAAAAATTACACTTGTCCTTGAAAGTCCTTGAATGTTTTTTGATGATTGAAATTCTCTTCACATGACTGATTTTCATCATCTTTAAAAATAATTTATAAAATTAAATTAAAAAAAACTTACATTTGTTGTGGTTGATAACTCAGGATTATGGTAAACTGACGTCATTGTTTCTGACTCAACATCTTCTCTGTTGTTCAGTTTTTCATTGACTTTACATGATACTAAACCTGTTTATCTGTAACACTCTGCGGTAGCAGTAGGTAACTGCCATTGTGCGTGGTTCTTTAATTTGATGAAATTGGTACTGGAAAGTCCTTGAAAGGTCCTTGAATTTGATGGTGACCAAGGTGTGGGAACCCTGGTTCTGGATTTGTTTATTGTTTCAGAATACACAGGGTTCCTGCAGATCCCTAAAAACTCTTAAAAGTCATTGAATCCATCTATTAAAAAATAAGGCCTTAATCAGCCTTAAAGTCTTAAATCAACCTTTCAGAAGTCTTAAAAAATGTTAACACATTGTGATTGGGATGATTGTAATTCATCTCAAGTATTAAAATAATTGGTAACATTTATCTGTGTGTTTACTTGTTGACAGGTTGAATACAGTGAGGATGGGAGTCTTGACTGGATGTCTCAAAGATCCATTAAAACCAGCAGCGAGGTCAATGAGCTGCAGCCTGACACACTGTACAAGTTCAGGGTGAGACAAACTGACACAACAGGGTACAAACACACAAGTTGTGTTAAAAGTACTGAGCATTAACTGTCCTTGTTGTCTCTTAGGTGGCTGCTGTGACGAGTCGGGGGGTTGGAAACTGGACTGAAATCAAATCCATCACTCCCAAAAAAGGTAGAAGGACCTTCAGCTGTGGTGTTTGAGGGTCTTGTTTCAGAAAGCTGTACAACACTGCCATCTAGTGGTCCCCAGAAACATTTGTGTCTTCTTAAGAGCTGCAGGGCTCCGTATACAGGTGCATCTAAAAACATGATAAAAGTTCAGTTTTTGTCGATCATTTCAGAGAGTAAAACTCATATATTAGATAGATTCAACATTACACATAAAATGAAATATTTCAACCTTTATTTCTGTAATTTTGATGATTATATCTTACACATAATGAAAAAACAAAAAGCAGTGGCTCAGAAAATGAGAATATTACAGGCCAGCTGCTGGTACCTTGGCAGTGAAGACAGGTGTCGAGTCTCCATAAAACCTGTCAGCAGAAGAAGCATTAAGTGCTTTATTCTAAATATGAGTTTCTCCTTTGGAAATGATTGACAAAAATAATTACTTTCATAATAATCTATTAAATAGATGCACCTGAAAGCTTCACCTGTGCTGCTAAAGCCATAAAACTGTGTTAAATAGAAAAATGTGTTTTTATTATTAATTGTTGGTGCACAGAACCGTCTGCTCTACCTGAACAGAAACAGTTTAATTTGCCCTCATGTTTAGTTGTAAAGGAATGGTTTAGGTGTAAATTCTATAAAACGATCTCCAGTTGACATTTGTACCTGAATTTAAAAAAATATGTTTGATTAGACTGGCTTTATTACAAAACGTCATTATTTTATTAATATTCATTGTCTCCTAAAACATAATTCATTGTCCTCCTCGCAGTCAGGTACCTGAGCTGCTTGTCCTTCTGGGTGCAGAGGAAGCTTTGGAAACAGTGAAATGGAAATGTTTATTTAATTGTTTCAAACATTTTGGTTATGGCCCTAATTTCATTTCATGGATGAAACGTGTGTAAACGCAGCCCAAAGTCTGTGTAGTGACAAACAGTAAACAGTCTCTGTGCTGTCAGTGAACCAGGGGCCACGTCAGGGATGATGCCCAGTTAGACCTTTGGTATGTTCTCTTACCTTAGAACCACTCTCCAGATCTCATAAGAACACTGTGGACAACCCTGACCATCGTCTTCATCAGACTGTCAGAGAAAAACAGTCCAGTTTCACTGTTAGACTGAAGATCTCTGCTGCCCACAGCCTTCAGCATCTACACTAACTGTAGTTACATCACCTGATTTCCCTCTGGGATCAATAAAGTTTTTTTGAGTTGAATTGAATGGGATGTCAGGGCAACAGGTCTATAGTCATTGAGGGCTGATGGGTGAGTTTTCTTTGGTACTGGAACCAGACAGGATGTCTTCCACAACACTGGCACCTTCTCCTGGGTCAAGCTAAGGTTGAAGAGGTGYBGCAGAATCCCACAGAGCTGGTCTGCACAGGCCTTCAGGACTCTGGGGCTGACACCATCTGGACCTGCAGGTCTGGTTCAGTCTCTCTAGCTGCCTCTTCACCTGACTTCTAGATACAGGAAAGTTGGAGGGGGAGGGAAAGGGAGCAGCAGCATCTCCTGATTTAGTTAAAGACAAACTTGTGGATGTAGAAGAGTCGATGACTGAGGGTGGGATGTCTGTGTGGGTGGGGGCAGGAGAGGAGGAAGATGAGCTTGTTCCTGTGGTAAAACTGTTGAAGTAAGTGTCCAGCCTGCTGTGGTGTTACAACTGTTCCAGCAGCCTGAGCGCACAGTTACACTGATCTCAGAGCACACATCTATTTGAACACACAATCATTTGAACCGTGTGTGTTCAAATCACACACACACACACACACGTGGCTCTCTTCCTGCTTGTGCTCGACTCCCTCCCTCCTCACAACTTCCCCTGTGCTCGCTCACAGCTCTTTCTCTGTGCTCGCTCACAGCTCTGTCTCTGTGCTCGCTCACAGTTCTGTCTCTGTGCTCGCTCACAGTTCTGTCTCTGTGCTCGCGCACAGTTCTGTCTCTGTGCTCGCGCACAGCTCTGTCTCTGTGCTCGCTCACAGCTCTGTCTCTGTGCTCGCTCACAGCTCTGTCTCTGTGCTCGCTCACAGCTCTGTCTCTGTGCTCGCTCACAGCTCTGTCTCTGTGCTCGCAGCCCAACTTGTATGTAAATGAACCACACCACCAGCCAATCACAGACAGGGTTTTTCATCCTTATCTGTATGCTTAAATAAATATTCTGGGCTACAAAGTATGTAAAATATACCTTATTATTATCTTTAGCTGTTTTAATGGGCCTGCATCTAAGATTTAATGACTACAAAGCAATACTGAGTAAATATAAATTCAGTTGTTGATCAGGCAAACGTTGGTCTTATTCAAGTTGCTCATTGGTTTCAGTTAAATAAGTTGTCAATTAATGTTAAAAAAATCGAATTTCATTATTTTTAAGAATAAGAATAAGAAATATAATTTGGAGACTGTAAGTATTTGTATTAATAATAATTGACTTCCTCATGTCTCATCAGTAAAGTTTTAAGGTGTTTATATTGATGATAGACTCTGTTTCAAATCATTGTGAATTTGTTTGTAGAAAGATTTCAAAAATCTTTAGGAATTATAAGAAAAGTTAAACCTTATTTAAAAGCAAAATCTTTGCTAATTTTGTATTACAGTTTAATTTATCCTTATATTTCATTTTGTAATTTAATTTGGGCTAGCACTTATCCATCATATTTACAACCAATTCATAAACTCCAAAAACCTTTTCTTAGAACTACAACTAACTCTCCATATTTATCTCCATCTCTACCTCGGTTTAAAAAATTACACATATTATCAGTTTATGAGTTAAATAAGTATCAGATTGGAGTTTTTATGTATAAAGTCATATATTCTCTGTATTCTTTACCAAAACATGGTTATGG